GGTATTAGTACTAATGGTTTTGTCATACGCACTATTAGTATTCACGAACGAGCGAAAAGTCATACGCCCCAGGCGCGTGGACTCCTGCAACACTGACTTACTCTACTCTCCCACGCCGCTGCATCGTGTACGTTGGCGCTCAGCTGCGCGGAGACCTTCCCGACGCAAAAGCAGCGCGGCGCGACTCCGACACGAGGGCCGCAGTTTTGAGTAAAACGCTAGGAAGTACCGAACGGGAGCGCCGTTGTTGTAATGATGGGCCGCTTGCGGCGCCGAGGCGAAATCGCCGATCCTGCGTAGAAGGCGAGGAAGTGAAGTATCGAGCCAAAACGCTGGTGTGGTAGGAAATCTGGCCTTCGGCGCCGAGGCGAGAGCGCCGATCCTGAGTACAGTCGGGGCCCTGAAGAAGGAACCCTTTTTGTTGGGGAGGGGCTCCGTGCTCCTGAATTGTTTCGCAGCTTGCCTGGGATTTGCCCTAGGTCTTCGATACGAAATCGAAGTTCAGCTTATGGAAAATACGGGCCTCGCTCCTTATTTAAGATTCCTTAGGCCAACGCCTCGACTGTAAAACACGGTGAGAAATAGCGCCTCGTGCCACGGCAGGAGTAAAACGCGAGGAGAAATGAGGAGAAGGAGGAGGAGGAGGAGGAGGAGGAGGAGGAGGAGGAGGAGGAGGAGTTGGAGGAGGAGTTGCAGGAGGAGGAGGAGGAGGAGAGGAGGAGAAGGAGGAGGATGGGCAGTGGACGCCCCGCGCGAGGGGCCGACGGGCGGGCACCGGGCGAGGCCTCGCCGCGCCTCTCGCGGCCCCGGCGCGCGCGGCCCGCCCCGCGCGGCCCCCGCCGATGTTGGGCCGCGGGAGGCGGTGGGGGCGCCCGCGCACGGGCGCCTCCTTCTCCCCCTCCTCCTCCTCCCCCTCCTCCCCCCCTCCCCCTCCTAGCCCTCCCCCTCCTCCTCCGCCTCCTCCCCCTCCCCCCTCCTCCTCCTCCCCTCCTCCTCCCCTCTCCCCCTCCCCTCTCCCCCTCCTCCTCCTCCTCCTCCTCCTCCTCCCTCCTCCTCCCCCTCCTCCCCCTCCTCCTCCTCTCGGCCCAGCCTGGCTGTGCGGCGTCAGAGCCCCCCCGCGCGCGGGGAGCCGAGGGATGCCTCAGGCACGACGCGCGGTGCCCGCCCCTCGCCACGGGGGGCGGCTGGACGGGGGCGCAACGCTCTCAGAGGGGGGGGGGGCCCAGGTGTTGCCCTCGCCCTCCAGCTGCTCCGTTGAGGCGCCTCCTCCCCTCAGCTCCGCTCGCCGTGGCACACCCACAGCCTGCGCACTTGGACCCCGCCGCGGGCCCGTGGGCCTCCCGCGGGATCGGCCCTGGCCGGGCTCGAGGGACGTCGACGCCGAGAGCTGCGGCCGTGAGAGCCTGCGGCGCCGCGCCCCTCCCGGCACTGAAGGGGCCTTGGGACACACAAATAAATTCACACACATAAAAGGATGCCCCATGTTTTCCTATATTTTCTGGGTTTTTGTCTTCCCCACCACTCCCCGTATTTCCCCATACTTTCCTGGGGGGTCGACGATGAATTGTGTCTGTGTGTTGTTCTTACCTCCTGACTCTGGCAGGGGAGGGACGCAGGGGCGCGCCCGGCGCGGGTCCGCTGGAAGGGGCCTGGCTCGGCTGGCTGCTCCTCCTCGTCGCCGTCCTCGCCCTGCCCCGCCTTCTCGTCCGTCGTGTCGTGCCTCTTGTCCTCGGCCCCGGCCCGGGGCTTCCCCACCTTCCAGCAGCGCACCCCGTGGTCCTCGAACTCGTCCCAGTCCTTCCGCGGGATCTCGAGCTTCATGGCGGCCGCCTTCATTTCGTGAACCTTCTTCTCGGCGATGGCAGCCGCAACCGGGATGGCCTTGCTGGTTGAGTCACGAAGGAAAGGGCACGTCGCCTTCATCTCGAAGCTTTTGGAGCCGCTCTTCTCCATCGCCTTGTGCGCGGCCTGCGTCAGCATCGGCGTGATATTCAGGAACTTCTTGTCTCCGTTGAAGGAGGAGCCGTCCATCCACAGATGCCCGAAGACATAGAACTGATCCTCGTTCCGAAGCTCCATGTAAAAGAGCGGGTCATCTGCGTTGAACAGCGCCTCAAAGACTACCTTGTCGGCACCCTATGCAGAGATCAAGTGTACTGGGCCACCCACGCTAGAGCCTTTGGTCTTGAGGCCGATCCCGTCGCGGTCCAGGATTTGGAGGGAGCAATAGCAGATGCAAGCCTCATCCTTAGCGTCCTTCACCTTCTCGGCTGCCTCCTTGGACATTCCGTGCCAGGCGGACTCGGCGCAGCTGCTGCTGGAAAGCCTGAGAAGACTCGGCTTCAGCCAAAATTGCTACGGACCTCCTCATCCTTCTCCTCCTCCTCTTCCTCCTCCTCCTCTTTCTTATCCGCTTCCCACCTCCTCCTTTTCTACACTGAAAAAAAGCACATGGAACGCGCAAATGGAAAACAAAGCGGTGTCCTGTCGGATTGGTCTCTATCCATGCGTTGTTTCCTGTGCCTGGGATGGTTTGTGCTACGTTTTGTGTGCCCGTGCTCGGCTGTCAATCTTGCTTTGGATTGTTTTCCATATCTCGCACGTCTTTTCCGTTGTATCGACGAACGAACATCACGCACCCATACCCATAGGGAGGACGGAGGGGGCTATGGGTGTGTGTTGTCGGATGGGGGTCCCCGCTCGAACGGGAGCCTCCCCCGCGGTCCGACAACCCGCACCCATACCCATAGCAAGTCCTCCTCCCGCCGACCCCCCTATGGGTATGGGTGCGTGTTGCCCGTTCGTCTTTTCCGTTGTATCTCGTGTACGCAGTCTCGTCTGGGCCGTCTCAGCCCCGGGCAGTTTTCGCCACGCTGGAGGCTTAGCGTGCCACGCGCGGGAACACTGACCCCGCCAGCTCGGCGAGCACCTCCTCCTAGGGCCGAGGTGGACCAGACGGGAAGGCGCCCACGGACGCAAAAAAACAAAACAACCCGAGCACGAACACGCCAGACGGAAAACAAACAAACCCAAACATGGAAAACAAAGAAACGGAATCAACACACATGGAGCACGCACATGGAAAACACAACGGTGTCCAGTCGAATTGGTTGTCTTTCAATGCGTTCGTGTTTGGCTTGGCTTGCTGTCCGTTCGTTGTACCCGCGTCAGGGCGCCCCATTCTGTATGGTTTCCCGTTCTGTTTGTTTCGTGGGCGCAGTCTCGTCTGGGCCGCGCTAGTCCCAGGCAGTTTGCGCCGAGCCCTAGGCTTAGCGTGCCACGCGCGGGCACGCAAACCCCGGCAGCTCGGCGAACAGCTCCCGCTGAGACGGCCGGATAGACGGCGCCCACGGGCACCAAAATGACAGCCATGACACCGAAAAAAACACATGCACTACAGCACAACATACACGAGAAACACAACGACACAACAACAAATATGAACATTGAAATACACACACACACATAGAGAGAAAGAGAGAGAACAACAGCATGCCCAACCAACGCGGTTTCTCTCAATGCTTTGTGTTCCGTGTCTGCGTTGGCCTGGGTTCCGTGTGCTGTTTCCGTGTCCGGCTGTTTTTTGTTAGTTGCGTTCTTCATTGGTTTCCGTATCTCTTTTGTCTTTTCCGTTTTTTTCGTGGGCGCCGTCTCGTCTGGGCCACCTCAGCCCTCTCGGCGGCAGAGTGTAGGAAAGGAAGCGTTGTTCGGTGGGCCGCTGCCTGCTGAGATGGTGTTGACGCGGACGCGGTACTTGCGCCCCGCCTCGAACGCCAATGTCCGCGTGTCCGACTCCAGCTGGGCTTTGGCGCTGCTCATACCGCCACCGTACCTCCGCCCCCGTCTTCTCCAACGGGCGGATGTCTGGCTGGCGCAGAGCAGGCCATGCCAGCTCACCACCCACTCGCCTTGATCCCCCTCCCCCGACCGCATTCCCATATGCCTTCTCTCCACTCGCCCGTCGCCTCCCCTCTCCCAAGGTACACCCTGCGAAATGCTTAAGAAATCGTGGGTTAAGAAACTCATAGTCTCAGAAGTTAAAGAAAAACCCAGAATTCCTATTAAAATCTTAGGATTCACGCTGAAACATTAAGAATCATCGAGACTCTGGCCGAAAACTCAAGTTTTCTTAAGCATCGCCTAGGGTGTATGCGCGTGCCCCCCCGTCAAGTCTCCCTTCCCCCGCTCCCTGTTCCTGCTCCAGGGCCGACGCAGATCGCATGCTCACCTGCCCCCCTTCACCTCGCCCGAGCAGTGAGCACCGAGCTCGCGGCTCGGGGCCCTCAAGGGGTGGCTCGCTGGAGCAGACGGTTCGGCCCCGCTGCAGTCTCGCGAGACTCACCCAGGCCCCCCCTGTCACAAAGGGGAGGGGCGGGGGGGGAGGAGGAAGCAGCGAACGAGGGGGCAAAATGAAATTCCGAATGGAGGAGGAGTGGGGAGCAAGAGAGGAGGGAGCGAGGGAGGGAAGGCGCTGTCCCAGATGGGAGAAGCAAGGGACAAAAGGAGAAACGAACGGGGGAGGGAACGAAGCTGTTTTCGCTGCGCTTTTATCAAACTTGTTGTCCGGTTGCCCACAAATTGATATGTCGACTCCCGCGGCGCCAAGTGGGCCCACTGAAGTCGCATTATAGACCCGCTGTGGCCTTGCAAGGGGCGCATGGTCTGGCAATTTTCTTCTCGTGGGACCCTCCAGCGTGCGAGGTCGCATCGGAACAAATGACACCACCCGCGCGGTGGGGCAGGTTTGTTTTTAAAGCACCACGGCGTCGAACGCCCGACGCGTGGGGACCGCAGTGGAAGCTGGAGCTGCGGGCTGGAGAAGGGTCGCCCAACGTTGTGACTTTGTTAGGAGCTACAGACCCAAAGTGCAAAAGTAGTGAAAAAGTAGTCTCCGGGTAGTCCCGGGCACTTTCGCGGCATAGCGCAAACATAGTGAAAATGTAGTCGCGGAGTAGTGCATAAAAAATAAAGGAGTGTAAAAGTGGTGTCGGAAACTTAGTGACTAACGAAGGGTCGCCCAGCGAAGGGGGGCCAGGGCGAACGTCGCGGCGCAGCCCTGACCGCGGCCGCCGCCGGCGGCACCGTGGCCTCTCCTCCGCCGCCACGGCCACTGCCGTGGGCACCGCGGCCGCTGCCGCTGCCGAACCCACGAGCAGCCAAACGCCGCGGACCGCGCGGGCTGCAGCACTGCGCTCGAGTGGAACGGCAGACGGCTGGCAGCGCACTGCACTGCACTGCACAAGCCGTACGCCGTCCGGCGCGTAGGCGGGAAAAGTATGGCTTCAAGCGTTCACTGCCAATGCGCCTGCTAAACAGGGCGTTGGAGGAGGAGGAGGAGGAGGAGGAGGAGGAGGAGGAGGGGGATGGCGGCGCAACTTGGCAGGAAAACGGGGAGGAGGGGGAGAGAGACGGGAGCAGCCGCGCCGCTCGTCGGCGTGGCAGCCGGCCCCGCGCCACAGAGGCCTCCCACAGCGGGGCGCCGAGCCCCCCCAGGCTTCGCGCCCCCGCTTCGCCCGACACGCCCGGAGGCTTCGCGGGCGAAGCTGCGTTTTGCGGCTCCTGTAGGGGGCCACATGCGAACCCGACCCCTACCCCCCACGACTTCTGAGGGGGAGGGCGGGGCTCACTCCTCAAAACTCGTGGGGGGCAGGGGCAGGGTCCGCACGTGGCCCCCCATTCTGGCGCCCCCGATCGCCCGACCCACGCAGGGGGCCCGCCGTTTGCTTGGCTAACCCGGCCCGCGCATAGCAGCAGGCCACCACGGGCGGCCAGCGCCGCGCGCCCGGACAGCGGCACGCCGCACGCCTCCCGCAGGCCAAACGAACCACGAGGCCAGCCACTGGCCTCGAGCCAGCGGCGGCAGACCCCCACCAGGATGCGGCCAGCGCCCGGGCGGGCGCGGCACTCCCAGCTGTGGTTGGGGCGCCCGAACGGCATCATGGCCAAGCGTGGGCGTGGCCACCGACGAGGCGGAAATGCCGTCCCCAGTGACGGACGTGGCCAGCGCGCAAGCGACGGCACCAGTCCTGGACAAAAAAAAAAAATGCGGCCAGCGCCCGGGCGAGACTGCCACTCCATATCAGCTGGCTGGCGCCAGGGCGGCGTCACCATGGCAAGCGAGAGACGTGGCCAGCGCTGCGGATGTCGCGCCGGCGACAGCACCAACAGACAGAGATGTGGCCGTATTCCTTTTTCTCTCTTTCCCTCCCTCCCTCCCTCCCTCCGCCCGTCCTTTTCCTCCTTTTCCTCCTCCTCCTCCTCGTCCTCCTCCTCCTTCTCCTCATCCTCACTATCCTCCTCGGATCGGATCGGAGAAATTCAAAGCGGTTTGTCAATGCGAACCCGATTCCAGGGCGTACCGCGCGCAGCTGAAAGCGACGGACAGAAGGAAACGCCATCATGATGTCGAAAAAAACATGCAAAGCGTGGCCTCGCCACGCGCACGGGGCACTCTGGTCGCGCGAGAAGTTCGCTCCTTGGTGAAAAGGGCTTGCTCCCCGGTGAAAGGGCTCGCTCTTGGGTGGAAATTGAAAAAGATGCCGCAGGTTCGCTCCCCGGCAGGAGGTTTGAAGGCAGAGTTGCGCGGATCGACATTCCAACGACATTCCAAGAGCAATGGGACCTCCATGGGTTGCCTGAAGGGAGGTCACTCACTCTTGCGTACACGTTCGAGAACATGGAACCGGGGAACGAACTCTTCAAAACAGCATGATGGATTCCATTCGGATTCCGTCGCGCTCGGAATCACATTCCCGTTCGAATCCAATTTCGTTCCTAACAGAATCATCCGCGAGATTCTTTCCAAATTGGCGCCAAGGGGGGGCCAAGTGGAATCCCATTGTAGTCCTACGGGAACCCAGTAAAATCCGACGGGCATCCCATTGAAATCCGAATTGATTCCGGCAGGGTTCTTTCCCATCGGCACCGTTTTTGGTTCCCGCTGGATCCTCTCGGAAATCAACCAGATTCCTTCCGATTGGGATCTGATTGGAACCCGATTTAAATCTCATTGGAATCCTATGCGACGCCTCCCTGTTGAAATCATACTGTGTTTCTTCTTCCAATCGGCCTTTCGTGGCTTCGCCTTCGTCGAAGCGCCCACTACAGAGCCAACCTTGAAATAATCTTTTTCGGGGTCCAACTAGCGAACAAAATTCCTCAAGCTTCCTCGGCATTCCTGAGAATTTCTCACTGTAACACTCGCATTGTATTGCTATGGTGCTCCAATTCCAAAGTGCATCAAATGTTTGCCAATTCTTTTGTATCATCAAGTCTTCCCTATCCAACCTTATTCCATGCGCATCGAGATCCGATAGTTTCGCACGCAGACCGAAACCCAATACCAAACCCACTCGTTCGAAGCAGGGATGGAAGTAGCGGCCCTAATATTAACAAGTATTGTGGGAGTTGCAGCGGTAGTAACTGCAATAGAAGGGCAATGGCGTTCGTAGTCGTACGCGTCGATGGCGACGTCTCGTTTGTTCTGTCACGTTCTATTGGCCCCCAGCTCCTCGCCGCCCCGCCCCAATGGCAACCCCAGCTATAATTCCGTCAACTCGCCTTCAAGCCTGGCGCTTTTACACGTGGGTCGCCTCAAGCCAAGGCACATCGGAGCCAGGGATCCCGAGGATGTCGCAGGCGAAGCGTGCCTGAGCACATCGCGGATCACGTTTTGGAAACCTGACTTGCAAGGGCGTTTCAAGCGAAACGGGCCAGAGCACCTCAGTTCAGGGCATATCGCAGTAGCCTGGGGCTCGGAATGTGACTCAGACGAAACAGGCCTGATAATCTCGCAGGCGAAACGGGCCAGAGCACCTCGCGAGCCGTACCTTGGAACCGGGAGGTGTGAGTTCCGATGATGTTTCAGGCGAACAACGTAATGATGATGTCACAAGTGAAACGGGACTGGGCCCCCCGATTCGGGGCATCTCGGATCCCACGGTTCCAGGGATGTCTCGATCGACACGCGCCTGCGTTCTTCGCGAACCGCATCGCCAACCCAGAATTACGAGGACGTCACAGGCCAAACGGTCAGAACCAGGGATTCCGAGGATGTTTCAGGCGGATGGAGGGCCATATTGGGCCGCCCTGGAGGGATACGAAACGAACTTAGAGGGAATGTTGCGCCATGGCAACGCGAAGCTCGAAAACTTGACGCGTCAAGCATCCCTAGGGCGGCGGAATTAAAATTGACGTTGGCCAAACCAGCAGGCCACCCAAAAGTCCGCAGAACAACTGGAAAATCAAAAACTCCAAGACGACCAAGATGGCTCCAGGTAGCCTCCAAGACGACCCACGACGCTCCCACGGTGGCCCCCAAGATGGCCCCACAAGGCCCAGAGGGCCAGAGAAGAAACACCAGGCAGCCCAAGGACGGACCCCGAGGGCCACCTCCCGAACTAGAGACTTCCTGGACGGGGTCCGAGTAGATGGGGTCGGAGGATATCGCCGCATCGCCGATACATCGGCGATGCGTTGCCGATGCATCGCGCAGGCGGCGTCGGCGATGCATCGGCGACGTCGGCGCGGGGAAATTGGGCCCCACATTGAGTCGCATTGCCGATGCATCGCCGACGCATCGCCAATGCATCGGCGATGGCCCGAGTCGCCGAAGACGAGCCTTAGAACTTCATGGCCTTGACCTTCTCCGTGGCCTCGAAGAGGCCCTGGGGCAGCACCTCCTGGATAACGAGACCCACCGCCGTGAGCTTCGCCAGCTCCTCGAGCACCTTGGTGCGGAACCTCACCTTGTCGCCATTGGGGCTGTTCAGCCAGTGGAACACCATGCCGACCACCTGCGTCATCCTCCGACACAATCTACTCCGACCCCGTCGAGGAGGCGCAGACAAAGCTCCCACGGTGGCTTGCCCAACGGCCGGGGGAACACGCCGTCCACCGGAGCAGCACACTGTCTTTCGACATCTCGCGGCACGGCTACAAGGGCAGGGGGCGGCGGTGATACGCTGTGGGCGCCTCCGACAAATCGTTCTCCGGAGGAACAAGGAGAGGGAGAGGAAATGGATAAGGGTGCCAACGATAAGAAGAAGAAGAAGAAGAAGAAGAAAAAAAAGAATTCCCCCGCAGTCTGCGTGATGCAGTTTACGATGATCGCATGCACCGCCGCAGCAAGATATATATATATATATATATATATATAAGCCTGACTCTGCATCCTGCGCCGCCAAGACGTGTTCCGTTCAGCCACTACCCTTAAAGTGTTCCCACAACCGCGTCGAGCCTTCCCCATTGTGGGCACGCTACTACGCCATACGCGGTGCGTGGTTTTGCGGATACGCACGGCTGCACATTATGACGTGCGTGCTTCGGTGCTGCATCTCATGTGTGAGAGAGAGGGTAAGAGAGAGGGGAAGAAAGAAAGAGAGAGGGGAAGAAAGAAAGAGAGAGAGAGAGAGAGAAAAAAAAAAAAGAGAGAGAGAGAGAAACAACAAAAAAAAATAAACAAAAAAAAATGGAGAAGCAGAAAGAGTCGGGGAGATGGAACGGCAGAGGGGCACCCCGTGCACCCCGCGCGCCCGCCCCCGCACCCCGGCACGACGCGCTCCGAGGCGATGTAGGAGAGCGACAGCACGGAGCCGCCGGGCGGCATGATGGGCCCGAACTTGGACACCATCGACACCAGCGAGTACGCCTCCGCGCCCCTCGCTCGTGAAGGGGCCCCAGGACACACAAAGAAGTACACACACAAATGGAAGGATCCCCCACATTTCCCCATATTTTCTGGGTGTCTGTCTTCCCCCCCCCCCTGCCCATAGTTTCCCATGTTTTCGGGGGAATCGATGATGAATTGTGTCTGTGTGTGTGTGTGTTTTTCCCCTCCTGAGCTTGGGAGGGCGGGGCGCGCGCGGGGCGGGAGGCGCCGCACCCGCGGCGGCAGGAGCTGGTCGGGGCGGGGAGCGGGCGGACCCCTTCTGCAGCGCCGCCCAGGCACGGCTCGAAGAGGAGGGAAGGACGAGGAGGAGGGGGAGGAGGAGGAGGAGGAGGAGGAGGAGGAGGAGGAGGAGGAGGAGGAGGAGGAGGAGGAGGAGGAGGAAGGAGGAGGAGGAGGGAGGAGGAGGAGGAGGAGGGGGGGGAGGAGGAGGAGGGGGGGGCGGGGCGTGCGCGGGGCGGGAGGAGCCGGCGGGAGGAGCCGAACCCGCGGCGGCAGGAGCTGGTCGGGGCGGGGAGCGGGCGGACCCCTTCTGCAGCGCCGCCCAGGCACGGCTCGAAGAGGAGGGAAGGACGAGGAGGAGGAGGAGGAGGAGAGGAGGAGGAGGGAGGGGAGAGGAGGAGGAGGAGAGGAGGAGGAGGAGGAGGAGGAGGAGAAGGAGGGGGGGGCGGGGCGTGCGCGGGGCGGGGCGGGAGGAGCCGAACCCGCGGCGGCAGGAGCTGGTCGGGGCGGGGAGCGGGCGGACCCCTTCTGCAGCGCCGCCCAGGCACGGCTCGAAGAGGAGAGGAGGACGAGGAGGAGGAGGAGGAGGACGAGGACGAAGAGGCAGAGGAGGCAGGAAGAGACAGAAAAGGAGACGGCAAGAGAGAGATAGAGAGAGAAACAAACAACAAACATTATCGACCCACGAACCCAGAAAATAAGATCGAAACTTAAGGCATGACACGGTTTCAGAGACGCCTGAATGGGCGACGGGCAACTGCAATGCTGAAGGTATCGATATTGACGTACCGTGCCGAGGGCTGTGCTGTGCTGCGCCGTGCTGAGTTGCGATGTGCCATGCCGCGATTGTGCTCTATAGTGTTGTGAATCGAGTCCTCCTTTACATCCAAGTCCTGACCGAACTGATCTGGATCTTAAGCTCGAGCTGCCTGAGCACATAGTAGCTGCCCCCTGCCCCAGAGCTAATCGACAGGGGGCATGCCAGGAGGACGTGCCGCGGAACGTCCCAAGGGACGCGCCAGGCGACGTGCCCGGGGGACGTGCCATGGGGACGCACCGCGGGACGTGCAAAGGGGACGCGCTACGGATCGTGCCAATGGACGTGCCACGGGACGTGCAAGGGGACGCGCCGCGCGACATGCCAAGGGGACTCGCCACGGGACGCGCCACGGAACGTGCCAGGTTGCAATGCTGAAGGTATCGATCTTGATGTACCGTGCCGTAGGCAATGCTGCGCTGCGCCGTGCTGAACAGCGATGTGCCATGCCGCGATTGTGCTCTATAGTGTTGTGAATCGAGTCCTCCTTCGCATCCACGTCCTGACCGAACTGATCTGGATCTTAAGCTCGAGCTGCCTGAGCACATAGTAGCTGCCCCAGAGCTAATCGACAGGGGGGCATGCCAGGAGGACGTGCCGCGGAACGTCCCAAAAGACGCGCCAGGCGACGTGCCCGGGGGCGTGCCATGGGGACGCACCGCGGGACGTGCAAAGGGGACGCGCTACGGATCGTGCCAATGGACGTGCCACGGGACGTGCCAAGGGACGCGCCGCGCGACATGCCAAGGGGACTCGCTACGGGACGCGCCACGGAACGTGCCAGGTTGCAATGCTGAAGGTATCGATCTTGATGTACCGTGCCGTAGGCAATGCTGTGCTGCGCCGTGCTGAACAGCGATGTGCCATGCCGCGATTGTGCTCTATAGTGTTGTGAATCGAGTCCCCATTGCATCCAAGTCCTGACCGAACTGATCTGGATCTTAAGTCCGAGCTGCCTGAGCACATAGTAGCTGCCCCAGAGCTCATTGTCACGGGGACATGCCAGGAGGACGTGCCGCGGAACGTTCCAAGGGACGCGCCAAGCGACGTGCCAAGGGACGTGCCATGGGGACGCACCGCGGGACGTGCCAAGGGAACGCGCTACGGAAATTGCCAATGGACGTGCCACGGGACGTGCCAAGGGACGCGCCGCGCGACTTGCCAGGGGGGCTCGCCAAAGGACGCGCCACAGAACGTGAACGTGCCAAGTTGCAATGCTGAGTGTATCGATCTTGATGTACCGTGCCGAGTGCTGTGCTGTGCTGCGCCGTGCTGAATTGCGATGTGCCATGCCGCGGTTGTGCTCTATAGTGTTGTGGATCGAGTCCTCATTGCATTCAAGTCCTGACCGAACTGATCTGGATCTTAAGCTCGAGCTGCCTGAGCACATATAATAGCTGCCCCACAGGGGGACATGCCAGGAGGACGCGCCGCGGAACCTGCCAAGGGATGCGCCAGGCGACGTGCCAAGGGACGTGCCATGGGGACGCACCGCGGGACGTGCAAAAGGAACGCGCTACGGATCGTGCCAATGGACGTGCCACGGGACGTGCCAGGGGGGCTCGCCACGGGACGCGCCACGGAACGTGCCAAGGAACATGCCAAATTGCAATGCTGAAGGTATCGATCTTGATGTGCCGTGCCGAGTGCTGTGCTGTGCTGCGCCGTGCTGAATTGCGATGTGCCATGCCGCGGTTGTGCTCTATAGTGTTGTGGATCGAGTCCCCATTGCATCCAAGTCCTGACCGAACTGATCTGGATCTTAAGCCCGAGCTGCCTGAGCACATAGTAGCTGCCCCAGAGCTCATTGTCACAGGGGGCATGCCAGGAGGACGCGCCGCGGAACGTCCCAAGGAACGCGCCAGGCGACGTGCCAAAGGACGTGCCATGGGGACGCACCGCGGGACGTGCCAAGGGGACGCGCTACGGAAAATGCCAATGGACGTGCCACGGGACGTGCCAAGGGACGCGCCGCGCGACATGCCAAGGGGACTCGGACTCGCCACGGGACGCGCCTCGGAACAAGCCAACGAACGTGCCAAATTGCAATGCTGAGTGTATCGATCTGGATGAACCGTGTCGAGGGCTGTGCTGTGCTGCGCCGTGCTGAATTGCGATGTGCCATGCCGCGGTTGTGCTCTATAATGTTGTGGATCGAGTCCTCATTTGCATCCGAGTCATGACCGAACTGATGTGGATCTTAAGCTCGAGCTGCCTGAGCACATAATAGCTGCCCAAGAGCAAATTGACATGGGGGACGTGCCAGGAGGACGTGTCGCAGAACGTCCCAAAGGACGCGCCAGGCGACGTGCCAGGGGACGTGCCAGGGGACGTGCCGTGGGAACGCACCGCGGGACTTGCCAAGGGGACGCTCTACGGAACGTGCTGGGGGCAAGCGTTTCGCTCGAGACATCCTGCCCAAATCCTCATGCTAGACATCCGCCTGGGCGACCTGGACACGTGAAAACAACCGTTTCGCTCGAGACATCCTCAACAAATCCTCATGCTAGACATCTGCCTGGGCAACCTGGACGCGTGAAACCAAGCGTCTCGCTCGAGACGTCCTCAAGATCTGGGCACGTGAAAACAATCATTTCACCTGAGACGTCCTCTGAATTCTGGTCCTAGGGAGAGGAACAAACTATAACACAAAACAACTGTTTCGCTCGAGACGTCCTCAACAAACTCTGAGGCATCCGCGCTCCCAGGGACACGATCCCTTATGACTTACGTGGCGCCCGCGCTCCCAGGGCCACGATCCCTTGCAAATTAGGCGGCACCCGCGCTCCCAAGGCCGCAATCCCTCGGAATTTACGCGGGATTTGCGCTCCCAAAGCCGCAATCCCTCATAAATGACATTGGATTTGCGCTCCAAAATCCGCACCCTCTCATCAATTACGCAGCCCCCCGCACTCCCAGGGCCACGATCCCTAATAAATTATTACACTGGATCCAAGTTCCCAGGGCCCCGAGCCCTGGTAAATTACGCGGCGTCCGCGCTCCCAAAGCCGCGATCCCTCGTAAGTTACGCTGAGTTTGCGATCCAAGCATCCTGGAGCAACGAGCGTTTCGCTCGAGACATCCCAAGAAGTTCTGCGCGCAGGACGCGCCATCCTCGAGCGGGCATGCAAAAAGTCAACATTTTCACATGTTTTGTGTCCAGGTCGAGGCTCCAGACCTCTGGTTTTCTCAAGGATTCGGCTAAAAACGCCCTGCACTTTTTTAACAAGGGAAAACGGGTGTCTGCAGACCCCGCTATTTATCGAGGATCCGAGTTGGGGGGCGCACTTTCCTCGAGCGGGCACGCGCGAAAATCATTTTTCCCATCTTGCTTTTCTCGACCGGACATCCGCCGGCCTCCCCCCGGCTCCTTAGCATACCAAAAGAGAACCCTGGGCCTATGCCCTCTCCGGGAAAAACAAGCGTTTCGCTCGAGACATCCTCAAACATGATTCCGCCGGCCCTCTTCGACCTCGTTATCCATCGCAGAACCATTCCGCCTGACCTCTTCAAGTCGAGGCCGGGAGATCAACCAGCTAAAAGAGAACCCTGGGCCTAAGCCCTTTCCGGGAGAAACAACCAAAAAAGAAAGACTGAGGGGGGGGGGCTCTCCGGCTCATGCCCTAGTCCACCCGCCCGCATCCCAGAGCGGCCGATTCGCACGCCGCGTCCCGCTGCTGGCGCCGCTTATGCGCACTGGTCACTGCCTCTGCCCGGCGGTGCCCGTCCCCCGCCGAAGCGGACGAGGCCGCCAGGTACCCGCTGCGGCTGGTCTCCAGCAGCGGTTTCTTCACCTCCCGCGGGAGCCAGGGCAGCAGAATCACGCGACGGCGGAGCGAAGCGGAGGCGGCTCGGAAGGCGGGGGGTGGAGACAGCCGCGGGTGCCGGTGTTGGTGCCGACCTCGAGGCCTCCTCCTCCTCATCCACCTCCTCCCTCCCTCCCTCCCTCCTTCCCTCCCTCCTCAAAAAAAGGTGCAAGGCCGAGCAGGGCCGGGACAGGGCAGGGCCCAGCAGGCTGGGGGCAAGGCTAGGAGCGAGGCCAAGCGGGGGACCAGGATCGGGGCGATGCTTCCTTGTTGGGGGAGAGGGAGCGCTGAGACCAGGCAGAGCAGAAGCCGCAGAGCGTGATGGTGCATCAAATGATGTGACCCGTGAGCCCTCCCCACCAGCAGCGTGCAGCCTCACACCCGTGGACTGACGGGAAGCCCGAGGGTCCACGCAGACTGTGCACGGGGTGGCGGGGCGTGGCGAGCCGCTCCTTGGAGGCGGTCAGGGCCGCACTACTCTCTTCACAGCGAGGGCACCCACTGCCGGGAACGCCTGCAGCACGTGCCGCGGAGGCGGCCCCAGCGACGCGCTGTGCCACGAGAGCGCACAGCGCGCCGCTCCGCTCCGCTCCGCAGGGCGGAAGGCCGGAGAAGCTCGGGACTCTGCAGCCCGGGGGCCAGGACAAGGGTGCAGTCGGGGCGTCGACCTAAGGAACCCTAAATGAGGAACGAGGCCTCTTGTTCCCACAAGTTAAGCTTCGACGTCCCATGGAAAACCTGAGGAGAACAGAAGGCACACTGCAAAACAATCCAGGAACACCGAACCCCTGCCCAACGAAAAGGGCTCCTTCTTCAGCGCCCCGACTGCAGCGCTCCGCGCCGCCGCGTCGCGGGCCAGAGCCGGCGGGGAGCGCGGCACGCTGCCCCCACGATGCCCCCGGCCGCGAGGCCCACGCTGCGCGGAGGGAGCGGGCGAGTGCCGAGGCGTGCTGGCCGGCGCCCCGCGGAGGCGGAGGGGGGCGGAGCGCAGAGGCAAAGAGCCGCTGCAGGCGGCGGTGCGCGAGGAGGAGGTGGAACAGAGGAGGACGAGGGATCACACGACGTCGTCATCGTCGTCATCGTCGTCGTCGTCATCGTCGCCGCCGCCGCCACCGTCGCCGCCGCCGCCGTCTTCGTCGTCGTCGTCGTGGTCAGCGTCGTCGTCATGGTCGTCGTGGTTGTCCTCGTCGTCGTCGTCGTCGTCATCGTTGTGGTCGTCATGGTAGTCCTTGTCGTCGTCGTCGTCATCGTCGTCGTAGTCGTCGTCGTCGTCGTCGACGCCGCAGTCGTCATCGTGGTCGTCGACGACGTCGTCGTCGCCGAGGCCGTCGCCGCCGCCGTCGCCGCCGCCGTCGTCGTCGTCGTCGTCGTAGTCGCCGCCGTCGTCGTCGTCGTCGTCGTCATGGTCGTCGTGGTCGTCCTCGTCGTCGTCGTCGTCATCGTCTCGTAGTCGTCATGGTCATTCTCGTCGTCGTTGTCGTAGTACTCGTCGTCGTCGTCGTCGTCGTCATGGTCGTGGTCGGCGTCGTCGTCATGAACAGCGTCGTCGTCGTGGTCGTCGTCGTCGTCGTCGTCGTCGTGGTCGGCGGCATCATCGTTATGGTCATCATGGTCGTCCGCGACGTCATCGTCGTCGCCATCCTCGTCATGGTCGTCGTGGTCGTCCTCGTCGTCGTCGTCGTCGTCGTCGTCCTCGTCGCCTTCCTCCGCCCCATCGGAGGGGAGTTGGACGTCGGGGGCAATCCGCGGCACGGGCGGGGCGGGGGGGAGGCGGGGCGGGGCGGGGGACATTGAGCGGTGCTGGACACACGGACGTTGTGGGCGCTTTGGTACGGCACGGAGCGCAGAGGAGGAGAGGGAAAAAGGAGAAAGGCAAGCCGAGCCCGTGGTGCCGAGGCCCGTCTCCTCCTCCTCCTCCTCCTCCTCCTCCTCCTCCTCCTCCTCCTCCTCCTCCTCCTCCTCCTCCTCCTCCCCTCCTCCTCCTCCTCCTTCCTCCTTCTTCTCTCCTCCTCCTCCTCCTCCTCCCTCCTTCCCTCCTCCTCCTCCTCCTGCCTCCTCTCCTCTTCTTCGTCTTCTGTTTCTTATTATCTTCTTAACTTCGTAGTAATTATTATTAGTATTATTATTATTAGATTCTTATTATTCCTCCCTCCTCCTCTCCTCCTCCCCTCCTCCCTCCTCCTCCTCCTCCTCCTCCTCCTCCTCCTCTCCTCCCCTCCTCTCCTCCTCCTCCTCCCCCTCCTCCTCCTCCTCCTCCTCCTCCTCCACCTGCTCACTTCCTGATCTTCTCCTCCTCCTCCTCCTCCCTCCTCCTCCTCCTCCTTCTGCTCCTCCGCGTCCTCCTCCTCCTCCTCATCCCCTCCTCCTCCTCCTCCTCCTCCTCCTCCTTTGCTCCTCCGCCTCCTCCTCCTCCTCCTCCTCCTCCTCCTCCTCCTCTCCTCCTCTCATCATCATCATCATCATCATCCATCATCATCATCATCATCATCATCATCATCATCATCATCATCATCATCATCATCATCATCATCATCATCATCATTCATCATCATCATCATCATCATCATCATCATCATCATCATCATCATCATCATCATCATCATCATCATCATCATCATCATCATCATCATCATCATCATCATCATCATCATCATCACCATCACCATCACCATCATCATCACTCATCCATCGCATCAGCCGCGGGGTGCCGAGCCCGTGGTGCCCTCGGCCGCGGCTGGAAGGCACCCCCGCCTCATCGCCCCTACCCCCCCCCCGAGCGGAGGGGCCGGGGAGGCGAGGCCACGAGCGGCCGGGAGGGCAGCTCCAAAAAGGGGAGGAGCCTCGGGCCCGTTGGCCAGGGAGTGCACCAGGATGTCCACCTTGCCGTAGTCGGCCTTGATGGCCTCGACGGCCTCCTGGTGTGAAGGGGTGCGGTTCGGGTGAGGGTCGAACGCCAACCGGCGCGCACGCGCGTGCAGGCGTGCGCCCGCACCGACACGCGAACAGCCGCACCCACGGAGGCACAGGCACGAGAGCCGCCGCACGTGCACACGAGCACCGACGCTCACGCGCGCGACCGCACGCGGCCACCCAAGATGGCGAGAACGCGCCTGCCACCGCCCGCGCTCGCTCGCCCACACGCTCGGCACAGAGATACGATCGGAGGCCCAAGAAAATGCCCGCACGCTCTGCGTGCACTCGCGCCCCCGCTTAAACCCGAAAACATAGCCCCAAGCCGAGAGACTCGCCCCCGCGACCCCCCACAGGGTCTGAAGAGCACCCCAAACTGACGTCAAGGGGCGCAACCAACCTGCTCGGTCAAGCTGAAATGACGCACCACACCCGGGCATCAAGCCAAAACTCTGGACATAAGCGAACGGTTGGATGTTGCACGTCTTCGTCGGCTTAATCGGCGAGGCGTCTGACCACCTTGACGTCCCTTTTTTGGTAGCCCTGCAGAGGAAGGCGCTCTCTGATTTTGCCCCACCCGGGACACCCCATGCTTCGATGCTTCCCAGGCGGGATCTCCCCAAGAGTCCCGAGCTTCCCCACAGGACCCGCCGGTTGTCCTGTGCCGCTTCTCAAGCAGCCCCGGGGCCCCTCGCGAGAGCCCCCAGAGGCCAGGAACGACAGGAAACCGCCCTCCTGACTTTTCCGGAAGCTTGGATGTTTGCCCCCCCCCCCCGCCGCCCCCTGCGGCGTCGCCCAGGCAGGCGCCGAATAGACGCACCCCGCAGGGTCGCCGCGCAGCTCGCCCGCACCCCTTGGCGCCACCTGCGCGCCGTGCCCGCCCACCGCCTGCGCACCCACCCGCGCGCAGCGGCAGCATGTGCTCCCCCGCCATCGCCCCCGAAGCTCGCCCGCGGTCGTCGTCGCTACACGCACGCAGCGAGGCGGCGAACGGTCGCCCGCTGGGCCACGCGTCGCCGACGACGACGACGACGACGACGACGACGACGACGACGACGACGACGGCGACGACGACGACGGCGACGACGACGACGGAAACAACAACGTCGACGACGGAAACGACGACTGGTGGCGCCAGCACGGCGGCCTGCACCGACACGCCTGCTGGGCCTCCCACTCCCTGTCCCCTATCGCCCTCCCTCTCCCCTGCCCCCCTCGCCCCTCCCCCCTCGCCCCTCCCCCCCTCCCCCCTCGCCCCTCCCCCCTCGCCCCCCTCGCTCCCCTCGCCCCTCCCCCCTCGCCCCCTCCCCCCCCCTCGCCCCCCTCGACCCTCCCCCCCTCCCCCTCTCCCCCTCTCTCTCCCCTCGCCCCCCGCCCCTCCCCCCTCGCCCCTCCCCCGCTCCCGAAATCGCGACGCCTCCGAGCTCTCGCTGCCGGGCGCCTGCGCCGCGGCAGCGGGCCCCTCGGAGCCTCACGGGATCGATCCGGCCCGAGACAGCGCCCAAGGCGGGGGACGGTGTTCCCTGGGCTCTGGTCGTGATCTCCACGATGGTGCACTCGGGCCGCCTCGTGGGATCTCCCCTGAGATCCGACGCTCCAAAAAAATGGGAGCGGGCGGTTTTTGGCAGTCTTCGGCCTCCGGGGGCCCTCGCCGGGCCTCGGGAGCGTCAAAAAACGGATCGGGACGAAAAACCGGTTCCAGAGGAAGTGGTCCGGACCTCCGGGGCCCCCGCACCAAAACAGTTGGAGCAGCCGGATGTCTTGGTCGGGGCCACTCTGCCCCCCACTTCTCGCTCTCCCTCCGTGTCTCCTGGGCTTCACTCCTCTAGCCCTCCTTGGGCTTCCCTCCCTCTCGCAGTACCTCTCTTCTCGCCTACGTGGGTTCTCGGTCTCCCTCCCAGACCTTCCTCCTGCTCCGCGCGCTCCCTCCGTTGTTCTCTCCTCCGTTCTCTCCTCCGTTCCCTCCTCCTCCTCCTCCTCCTCCTCCTCCTCCTCCTCCTCCTCCTCCTCCTCCTCCTCCTCCCTCCTCCTCCTCCTCCTCCTCCTCCTCCTCCTCCTCCTCCTCCCTCCTCCTCCTCCTCTCCTCCTCCTCCTCCTCCTCCTCCTCCTCCTCCTCCTCCTCCTCCTCCTCCTCCTCCTCCTCCTCCTCCTCCTCCTCCTCCTCCTCCTCCTCCTCCTCCTCCTCCTCCTCCTCCTCCTCCTCCTCCTCCTCCTCCTCCTCCTCCTCCTCCTCCTCCTCCTCCTCCTCCTCCTCCTCCTCCTCCCCCCTCCTCCCCTCCTCCTCCTCCTCCTCCTCCTCCTCCTCCTCCTCCTCCTCCTCCTCCTCCCTCCTCCTCCTCCTCCTCCTCCTCCTCCTCCTCCTCCTCCTCCTCCTCCTCCTCCTCCTCCTCCTCCTCCTCCTCCTCGCGGCACGGGGGCGCGGCAGGCCTGTGAAGTCCGCCGGCACACGCGCGACGAGCAGAGGCGCCGACCAGGGAGTTTAGCGCAGGGGCGCGGCTGTGCTGCTGGGGCCGTCGTGCGGACCCGCGCGGCGGTGCAACGCAGTCCTTTGCAGAACGCCGACGTGCTTGGCCGATTCGCCTGGACGCCCTGCCCAGCAGCCCGAAACGGGCCAAGAGGCCTCCGCGGAGGGCCCCACGGCGGCTCCAAGCGGCCCTGGGGCGGCCCAAGAGGCACCAGAGGCAGCCCTTAGGAGGACCCCGAGACGGGCCATCGCTCGGACGTCCATTCCCTGTGTTTTTGTTCGGCTTCGTGCGTGGCTTTTTTCCCCAAAATGATCAAGGATGCTCCTCGATGGTCCTCGCCGGAGGCACCAGGCACACGTCCGAGCGATGCCAAGGCACTTGTGAGCCACGGACTGCACCACGAAATTCCAAAGGGGTGCTCTCTCGACACGGCGCGCGCGCCTCCCGCGCGCTGCGGCGCGGGAAAGCGCGACGCATGAGCGTCGCGGCGAAGGCGCCGCCGCGATCGCCCGGCCGCACCAGGGAGCACCAAACCGGGTAACGCCTACAGTCGGGATTGATTGGATAGGACACGCGATAGGACGCAAGACCCTTCCGAGGGCCACATTGCCATAGGAATGTAGGAGGCACGGGTCGCGACACGCAGGGCACAAGGGTACCCTTGATTGGCAGGGTCGACCTACTAATCGACCTCGACTGTAAACGGGGTAACAGACCCACCAGGGGATCCAGGTGGGAAAACTGCAACGACCAGAACAACAAAAATGCACTGCACTCTTCTGCAACACAAAAAAAGCTGCACTGCAACTTGTTGGCAACTAGTTGCGGAAAAACTGCAGACAAGCCCCACAGACCGGGTAACAAAAGGCCCCCCCAAAAAAGTTGCGGTGCAGCAGCCGGAAGTGCGCAACGCAGCCAGCATGTGGAAGGTGCTGCATCGAACGCGAAAGCAAAAAAAAACTGCACTGCAACAAAAGGGTCATTTGATGCCTCGAACCGGCCGTTTCCTGTTACCCCGTCTGCTGTTACCCCGTCTCTGGCTCCCCCCCAGGCGCCGATTCCGATTCCTCCTCCTTCATGGGGAACCGAAAATGCATCGACACCGCCACTCCCCAGACTTCTCTCCCGGGGTGCTCTCCCGCCAGGATGAAGGGGCCCCAGGACACACAAATAAATACACACAAATAAAAATATTCTCCATATTTTCCTATATTTTCTGGGTTTTTGTCTTCCCCCCAATTCCCATATGTTCTTATATTGTCCTGGGAATCGACGATTAATTGTGTCTGTGTGTTTTTTCCCCTCCTGACAGGATCTCGAGGCGAGCCCAGCGGTGGCGACGAGGGCCTCTCCGGAGGCGCAACGAGGGGAACACGAGGGAAGGGCAGCCGTACCCATCGGTCGGAAGAAGTGGGCAGAAACATGAAGTACAGTCATCGGCCTGACCTAAGGAACGATAAATAAGGAACGAAGCCCCTTTTTTAACCCAAGGAATAACGCATAAGGAACGATAAATAACAAATAACGCATAAGGAGCTGTAAATAACGCATGCAAACCTCAGGAACGACCGAGAACCTTTTGAAAAGTAAGTGTTCCCTATTCAAGCCGCTCACTGTAGGCAGGCGCTGAAATCAGAATGGGTTCCGTCCGCCCCCCTGAGGAGGCCGGAGAAGGCGAAGCCGCTCGATCATCGAAGCAGCAGGGCGCTCCAAGTGGAGTGGAATGTGGGAACCCTGGAATACCTACCGTCCACGACCGATGGGTATGGGTGCCTTTTTCCTCCTCTGACTCCAGCCCTGTGCCTCGGCCCCCCCCCGTGCTCCTCGCCGACTCAAGGCGCGCTCGGCCTCCTCCTCGCCCCCCTTCCGCTGCCCCTCTTTGGAGGGGCCCAGGAACACGCAAGCAGATACACGCACCAATCCCAGGATCCCCCCTACGTTTCAATCTTTGGGGGAGCTTCGTCTCCCCCCCCCATATTTCCCCATCTTTGTCTTCTCTGGGGGAATCGACGAGTCAGTGTGTCTGTGTGTGTGTGTTTGTGTGTCTGTTTTCCCCCCCCCCCTGACTTCTGCCCCTCCTGGCCGCCGACCCCCGGGCGCGGCGCCCCCCCCGGGGCGCCGCCCCTCGGCCGCCGAGGGGGGCGCGTCCTGGATGGTGAAGTCCAGGCCGGCGTACCTCTTGTTCGTCTTGACGTCCTCGGGGCTCGCCATCGCTCGGACGTCCATTCCTCGTGTACTTTTCGATGTCGTGCTTGTTTCTTTCCGCTAAGTCATCCAGGATGCTCCTCCATGCTCCTCGCCGAGAAAACATGCACACGTCCGAGCGACGCCAAGCGGCGGGGGGAGGGGGGATTTTTGCTCCAACCATCCTGCGGTGTCGGGTCCTCGTTTCGAAGAGACGGTCCCCTCGTTCCCTCCCTCCTGCCTCCTCCCCCTCCTCCTCCCTCCTCCATCATCACCGTCGCCCGTTTCAGCACGCACGTCCCTCACACGCGTCGTGGCCCCGTAGGGACCGCCACCGAAGGCTCCAGCGGCAGGGTCCACATGGCGCACCCGCGCCCGATTCGGCGCACCCCTCACACCTTCCAATTCGGCAGGCACGTCGCACGTTTCGTGGCCCCCCGGGCAGCTCCACCAGAGGCGGTATTCACCACTGCAGTGCTTCGCCGGGCGAATTTCGTTCCTCGCAGCCCAGAGGAGATCTCTAGTGGCCCGTTCCCAAGGCCTCGGGCGGCGAAGCAATCACAAACAGGGGAAGCCAATTGCACTCTCGGGCGCTCTCTAAACCCCACGACGAGTGGTGAATTTGGCACGTGCGCCAAGCCCCGGCGAGGACACCAAACTCACGTCCTCGGGGGGGAAAATCTCGCCATCGCTCGGACGCGCATTCCCCATATTTGTCGGCTTCGTGCGTGTGTTTGTTCGCAAGATGGTCGGGAGGGGGGGAATCTCGCCGTCGCTCGGACGCGCCTTCCCCGTGTACGTGTCGGCTTCGTGCGCGTGCTTGTTCGCAAGATGGTCGTCGGGGGGGGGAGAATCTCGCCATCGCTCGGACGAGCATTCCCCTTGTATGTGTCGGTTTCGTGCGCGCGCTTGTTCGCAAGATGGTCGGGGGGGGGAATCTCGCCGTCGCTCGGACGCGCATTCCCCTTGTATGTGTCGGCTTCGTGCGCGTGTGTGTTCGCAAGATGGTCGGGAAGGGGGAATCTCGCCAGCGCTCGGACGTGCATTCCACGTGTAGTCTCGGCTTCGCGTGTGTTTTTGTTTACTAGACGGCCCAAAAGCCTCCCCGATGGACCTCGCCGACGAAACGAAGCACACGTCCGAGCCATGCCGAAAGGGAACAGCCAGGACGCAGCCAGGCAGCACCGTTTATTGTTCGGTTTCGTGCATGTATTTTTTCGTTCAGCGGCAACTCATGGGAGCCTCCCATACATCATCTTGCCGGCTCTCGCGAATCGACGCTAGTCGACGCTAAATCGACGCGAATCGATGCGATGCGAAATCGACGCTAGTCGACGCTAGCCGACGCTGAATCGGCGCCATCTCATCGACTCCCAAACGCGAATCGACACGAATCGACGCCAAGGACAAAACTCAAGGGTATACCAGGCCCCCATGATTCGCTACCGAATGTTCGCAAGATTGTCCAAATTGCTCCTCGCTGCTCCTCGCCAGAGGAAACATGCACACGTCCGAGCGATGCCAAGGGTATAGCCAAGAGACGCAGCCAGGCAGCCTCTCGCGGCCAGCTGCTGCGCGCGATCCCACGAGGCCCGCGTCGAACACATAGTGAGCGAGCAACGACATATGTACATGTACGCCCTCCGCGATCTTGAGTGCACGAACGTCCTCGTTCAAACGCCCTCCAGGGGAAGCTAACCGCGTACGTGTACATATGTTGCTGGCCTCTGACATAGGCGGTGCCACGCTGTACACCCCCCGCTGCCGAGACAGTCGAGCTGGAATCGATGCGAACGACGATCAAAAACGGGTCTCACGCGAGATGGCGCGAGGAGGAGGAGGAGGAGGAGGGATACAAGAGATACAAGACATAGAGACGCCAGCAAGTTACCCGCAAGCGCCCTGATAATTATAGAGAGAGCCCCATCCACTTACCCGACCGTGCGTCGGTGCCTGGACCTCCAGCGCCGTCAACGCGCCGAAATAGAAGACGCACGCGGCGGGGGGGGAGGCGACACGGCGACGACGGGGGGGACGGGGCCAACAAAATTACTCCTGGGGGACGGCCCCTGAGAGTTTTAAACCAGACTTCGGGTGCAGGCCATCGCGGATATTCGCAAGAGACTTGCTCACCCGAACAGGCAGCACCCCCGAGCTCGGGGGCTTGCACACCGAACGCAGCTTGGGCCCCATCCTCTGAGCACAATACGACCCGCACGCCGTGCAGAAGATATATGGGCCTGCACGCTCCATCACGTGCCCAAGAGAAGTGAAAACCTGAAACTCGCACACCCCATCCCCCCCCCCCCCAGGCCTGGGCTCCGAGACCGATCCAGACCCAGGCACACCAGAGCTAGACGCGGGCTCAGCCCCAGAAACCTCGGGCCCCAGGACCTCCAAAGCGCCAGACATCGCAGACTGGACAGCCTCTGGCCTGGCCAGGGGGGCCGCAGCGGCATACAATCCACCTTTGGCAAACGCCAGGCGGGCACGCTCACGCTGCAAAGTGGAGGGGTTACACTCTCGCCCACTGCCTTGAGTAAGCCATTTACGCGAAGCCTCCGTCTTCGCCCTGGCCAGGCAGGAGCGACAGACCATGAAAGCATCAATTCGCCAGAAATCATGTTCCTGGAAACGGAGGAGGGGGGGCGCACGGAGGAAACGAGCTACATCAGCAGCAGGCCTAGGGATGCCCATCTCCCGCAGGGCCTCCAGCTGCCCACCCACAACCTCCTTCTGCGCCGCATGCTGGGCAGCAGCCCAGCCAAAGAATTTGGCATTGCTCCTGCCAATGGCAAGCTGATCAGACCAGTAAGCAACGAAAGAATCAGCGACCTTACGCGAGCAGGCCCCCATCTTGGCGAAGAAATCCGCCCGCATATTGCCAAACCACCAAGACACGGGCCATTGTCCTCGCTCGAGAAACTCCTCCAGAGAGAGATGAGCAGGCACCCATTCATACATGGGAGCCTTCGGGTTATCCCTCCCCTGAGCGACGCTAAAAATTTGCCTCCAGATATCAGCATGGGCGGCCGCGGCAGACGCATGCTCAGGAGACCATTCAACCCCCTCACGCACGGCCCCAAGGAGGTCCGAGACAGACAGCACTAAACGCGGCAACAACTGGAGCCCCCGCAAAAGCGCGTGTCTTTCCGCACGGCCAACCGACTGGATGGGGCCTGGGAGCGGACCGTAGGCCGCACGAACTGGGAGTCCAAACTCTCCCATCTGAACAGCCGACCATCCACAACGCCTGAATTCTGGCCAGGCGCTGTGCATCCCAGACCCATCGAAGAAGGCAGTTGGACCCCATCCCTCAGGCTTCGACCCCCAGTCCCCCCAGAAGAAGGTAAGAGGCTCAGAAGACGGAAGGGGAAGATCAGGAGGAGCCTGGGGGAGCCCAAAACAAAACTTCAGCAGGTGAAAACTGTCCTGCCCCAAGACATTGACTCCCTCCTCAGACAGACGAACACGCGTTTTTTCCATCTCCTCGGACCAGGCTGGCAGACCGCCAGCACCATTCTGTTCAAGCAAGTTCGGACATGCGTGCCACAGATGACCAAGATCTCCAACAGCACATTGTTTGCGACAGCCGGGATGTGGGCAGTGTGGCGTAGGCAACCATCCTCTTTGATGCCGCTTCTGCACAATCATGAAGCCACCAGCCCACAGGCAACGAAGAGCTCCCGCGACCTGTGCATTATTGATGGTGGCTGCCTTACCACCAACGGTAAGATGCACCGCTCGCATCCACAACGACTCGCCTCCCTCCAAGTGTTCGGCATGATGTTCCAGAATCCTTCGGCCTTGCCACCGTTGAACTCCAAGGCGCAGCAACTTTCGAACGTCTGTGGGAGGCATCTTTAACAGCGAAATCACCATGCCCGTGTCGCTGACAATCAGCGTGCTACTAGCCATCTCCCAGCCTACTCTTCGCAAAGACAGCCAGGTCGCAGCTATCGGTCCTCGAACCCCCTGCCAGCCTGGATCACGTCCATGCCACAGGTCTTGGAGTACACGCCACGCCCGCTCGAGCTTGCCCATGTCCATCCGCATGTCGAGCACGAAACAACTGTACATATACACCATGTTGAGCGTGGCGTCGAAGATCGGGTCCATGTACGGGTCGCGCTGAGACACCAAGTAGGCCGTGGCACTGACCCCATTTGGCGTGAACCCCAGCGATAACTCCAGCCGTCTGCCTGAGCTGCTTCAGGTCACAGTCGGGAACGCCCGAGACCGAGCTGCCGTGCGCGGCCCCTGCCAGCAGCCCAGACCGCCAAATGGCCCCCACTTTGGAACCAGCAGCCTTCTGGAACACCTTGACGCGCCCCATTCGCTTCTGCAGCTTATCCAGACGTCCTTTAGCAACAGTTCGAATCACACGGCCACCGACCATATCATGTCCCAAGTTGCGCATCTGCTTCCTCTGAGTGAGCCTCAGCACCTTGGCCCACGGAGAAAACTTCTTGAGCGCCTCTCGGGTGGTGCCCACGAAGCCCGACTTGACAGGCTGAACCAGCAGGCCGAGCCTTCTCATGCCACTCTTGAAAATGCGAGTAGCCTTGACCAGCTCAACCATCTCTTGCAGGTTCTATCATCCACAAGAGCCCGAGGGTGAATAGTCGGACATATCTCCTTAACACTGATCAACGTACGAATCATCAACACCGTCAGCAGAGTCGTGGCGTGAGTGCATCCAGGCAGGATACCTTGCCCCACCTCGTGTAGGACTGACACCGACCCAAACGCTTTCACAGCCCGAGGCAGTTTGTAAGAAGTCGCCAACTGCCAAAGTAGTCGCAAAGGGTAGCCAACTTCCCGAGCCTCACTAAACAGACTGCTGACCTTGACCGTGTCGAAGCACTTCCACATGTCCATCATCACCGCGAGCGAATGCTCGCCCAGCAGCTTAGACATCTCCGCCATCGCGTTATGCATGAAGGCCGACCCCGGCGACGAGTACCCCTTCCTATTGCCCCAGACCATCTCCGAGGGAAACTGCTGCAACCATTGCCGTGAAAGTGGTCGTCGGACTCTCGCCCAAACACGTATCAGCGTGTGAATGAGAGCCACCAGTCTAGTTCCGCCTCCGTCCTTCGGAATCATAGCCATCTCAGAGTGAATACGATCCACTGGCCAGAGAAGCAAGTCCTCGCACCCCATGAAGAAAGAGGCCATGGCCCCCAAAGCCTCACGCGATAAGAACCACAACGATCTGGGCTGCAGCTTCGACGGACCAGCTGCCGTCTTCCACTTGAAAGAGAGGGTAGCCTGAACCATCATATCCGTGGCGATGTAGGGCAGAGAAGGCCAACTGGCACTGTCGGTCGGCAACAGAATCTCGCTATCCTCATGCACCGTCCACACCTTCAACCACTTTTTCATTTCACGATCAGCCAACTCGCGTGGTGATTGCTCACTGCCTGCCTCGATGATTTCCTGGGTCGCCTGTAACCTAGTGAAACGAAGCGCACCACTAGCACCTTTCTCAAAGGCTGAATCCACGAACCTCTTCCATCGAGCACGATCACACTTCTCATGAGCAGATAACAGGCGATCATGAGCATCTTGGATGTTGGCAAACACCTGGTCAAAATCATCACGCGCCAATAGATCAAAGCAAGATGACGGCAAGAAGAATTCAGAAACCCATGCAGGTAGAGCTTGCAGCGTACTTTCACAACCACGAACTCCATGCATAAAACGAGCGAATTCCACCAGCACCTTCGCCAGCGCAGAGTGATCGGCCAGAACGTTCACAATTCTGTTCGCGTCCTGCCAAATCAGAAGCTCGTCAACCAACTTGGCAACGTGCTCCTTGACCCTCCTGCAATGGACGACCCACTTTAAAGCAACAATCCAAGCCCGTAGCTCAGGACCACGCTGCAACCGTCGAAGAGGAGGTCGCCACTTGGCCTGTGCCATCTGGGTAAGTAGAGGGCCACCACGTCCAGACGTCGACGAAGCCTTTACTCCATCTACACAATCATAGACACCCTGCAATTCAAATTCCAATCCAGCCAGCAACGCGTCCCAAGCCAAGCTCAAGTCGTCGCTGGTTTGAGCATAAAAAACTTGCCGTTCAACCTCACTCCAATCCAATGGAAATCTCTCACATCCGATAGGCGGCGTCTTCGGGAAGGGAGCTGGCTCCACCACCTGTCGCACCCATGCTGGCCTGTCTTCAGCTAACACGGGCAACTCCACAGGTAAGTGAACTTTGATATTACTGTCGTCAACCACCTGAGGCCGTCGAACTCGAGTTCCCAAGTTGGCGCGCACCAGAGCGTAATCAATGATACTGCCAGGCTGCTCCAACAAACATGTAGGCCTCGACGGAGCCGCAACGAAGCCATTCACGCCTGCCAACCATCCAGAAGAAAGCACATCAGGCGTGAGGTTCCAATCTCCCATGACGATCCAGTCGCGCCCTATGGCATTCAATACTGCAAGATATCTCGCGATCTTCACCAGCAAGGCCTCATTTGCTGCGCTCATTCCCTCGCCAGAGATAAGATACACAGCTATAATTACGACACCTCCTGGTACCATCCAGGAAACATCTGAAGCAGCGATACGACCTGGCTCCAGCTCATGCTCAAGGAGCTCCGGAGGCGCCTTCACCACGACGTGCGTCGGAGCCAGGACGGCGACACCACCTGATCGCCCAGCTGCCTCTGTTTCCACAGCGCCACCAAAGAAGCCATGGAAACCAAGATCTCGAATATGAGACTGCAAAGATGGAAGATGCTTGGCTAAAGTGCGATGCTCCTGAATCACCACAATCTTGGACCTGCACGTCTCCATGAACATTTTGAAAGGTCCAGCACCCTCCGCATTGGCAGATGCGATCACTCCCTTCAACCTGAGATCAATATTAGACTGCCGACCAGTCGCCAGAGCAGCGCTGCCTCCAGTAGACGCCCTCGTGGCCGACAGAGAGGTAGCCACCGCCGTCGAACTCCCTGTGATACCGAAGAACTCGTCCTGGTCGAAGCCAACGTCGTCGAACCCCTGAAAATCCCACTGGTAATCATCACCGTCCAGACAGGAGTCTGCCACAACCTGCTGCTGCGGCAAAGCATGCAAGGGAATACCATTACGCGGCATCTCAATAAGGTGCATGCACGACTGCAAGCCGCTGTCCACTTTGATTGAAGAGAGGCATAGCCGCCAGACGAGCAGCAGCAGCCCGAAGCCCCTCAAGGTCCCTGGGAACATGCTCAGCCAAATCGGATGGGTAAAACGCCTCCAACGATGCACGCAGCTCCTCCTCCTTGGCATCTGCAATGACCTGGTCCAAAGACTTGGGCTGGGCGCCCCCTGCTGCTGCAGCTGCGGCAGCTCCGCCCCCTGCCTCAGTACTCGGCGTGCCAGACGAGGGGACGCCTGCTCCGCCATTCGGCGTGCGAGGAGCTTGGAGCGACTCATCAGCCTCTTGCTTGACCCAGAGCGTGCCCATACTGTCCGCCAGCACCTGCGCCAGACCCGCCGCCTGCTCGGAGCCGATGCCCTGCGCCTCAAGCATCTTGCCCAAGGCGCCACCATCCATGGCCATGCCCTTGCCCTTCTCGTCGAGCGATGCCGACTCAGGAGCCATCGGCGCCTGCTTCGTAAGCTCCTGCACCTGCGCACTGAGCGACACCACCTCCTTCTCCTGCTCCGTGAGATCCTTCTCAGCCTGCTCCAGACTCTTCTGCATCTCACCGAGTTGAAGTTTCCTCGCTGCCACCAACTCTCTCGAAGCTTCCGCCCGCTTCTCCGCCGTCTTGAGTCGATTAGACATGGTCTGCAACTTCGCATACATAGGGCGAGACTCCTGAAGCTTACTGTGCAACCTCTCCTTCTCAGCCCGCAACGACTCCACAGATGCGCCCGCCTTCGACTCACTGCTGTACTTGGACACAAACGCCAGCTGCTCATCAATCTCCTTGAGCCTCTTGCGCATGTCCGCCTCGTCATCCTTCTCGCCAGCGTCGACTTGCATGGGGTCCCCAGACGAGAAGAGCCCACGCTTCGCCTCAGCCTGAAGTTCCTTGATCTTCGCCTCGAGCTCACGAATATTTGCCTGCCCTGCAGCCTCAGCTGACTGGTACTTCCACGGCGGCATCTTGGGCTTAGCGCGGACTGAAGGCTCCGAGGGCAGAACGTTGCCCCCGAACGTGACTCCTTTCGCCAAGCCGCACAGCACACACTTCTTCGCATGCGCCATGTTCCACCACTGCTTGCCCGTGCGATCATTCTTGCAACTCTTGCAATACCACCTGCACGCGGCCTCCTCGCGCGGCCCCGTTGCAGCGACGTCTTGGGGCCGCGAGAGCACCTGCTCACCTGCGGGGCCGCAGGAGGCAGCCGATCGGCTGGGGCGGACCAACCGTCGGACAGAAAGCTTGTATCGTCTGGCCGCGGTGACAGCGGTATCCGTGTAGGCCTGGAGGCGGACAGCCTCCCAAGCATTTAGTCTTGAGCCAAAATGGCTACGGAAAGGAGGAGGAGGAGGGAGGAGGAGGAGGAGGAGGAGGAGGAGCAGGAGGAGGAGGAGGAGAAGGAGGAGGGGGGAGGAGGAGGAGTGGGGAGGGAGAGATGGGGATGAAGGGCGAGGAGGAAGGAGGAGGACGAGCCGGTTTTGTTGTTGTTCCGTCACTCGTGCGGGTGCCGAAAAAAAAACAGGGCTTGCCGTCCTCGGGCACGTCTTCAGGAGAGTCGTACATGGCGTCGAGCGGGTAGATCTTGGCGATCTCCTGCCCACCCGGCAGCGCCTCCTCCGCTTCCCGCCCCCACCTTCCCCCCCCCCCCTCACCATCGCCCTCTTCCTCCCTCCCCTTCACCTCCTGCGCGTCTACCTCCTCCTCCTCATCCTGCTCCTCCTCCTGCGGGCCAAGTCCCCAGCACCCTCATCATCCTCCTGTCAATCGTTATCCTCCTTCTCATCATCCTCTTCCTCCTTCGTCTTCCCCTCCTGATCTGCCTCCTCCTCCTCATCATCACCCTCTAAAGTGTCATAATCACGATGGCACCGTCAATCACAGCAGCACGTAATGAGAATGTTCATCAGAGATATGAGCGTCTGGGAGTCTGCGGGACTGGGCGTCTGCATCGGCGTCGTCGCTATCATCACCACCGCCATCCCCAGCATCATCAGCGTCATCAGCATCTTCAGTAGCAGCAGCAGCAGCATGCCAGCAGCAGCAGCATCATCCCAACCACCTCGATCAACAACAACATGCACATCAACATCAACATCGTGATCGTCATCAACATCGTCATCATCATCATCAGCATGAGCATCCATCATCATCAACATCGTCAACATTCCAATCACCATCGCCCCCCTCCCCAAAAAAAACAGAATCTTCACCATCGTCATCATCGCCATCATCACTGTCCACATCACCAACACTACCAGACAGGTAATCATCGAAATCATCATAGCCAGTACCATCACAACCACCACCATCGCCATTATCGTCCAGCATCAGGATCACCATCATCATCAGCAGCAGCATCATCATCTTCAGCATCAGCATCATCAGTATCACAATCATCAGCATTCTCATCATACGCATCAACAATACCTCTATAAGCAGCAACGCCAACATCAATATCACCATCATCAGCAGCGTCATCATACTCATCAGCATCAAAATAAGCATCACCACCACCAAAATCAGCACCACCATCATCATCATCATCATCATCATCATCATCATCATCATCATCATCATCATCATCAACGACGTCATCACCATAGTCATCACCAGCATCATCGCATCAGCATCTCAGCATCGCCATCATCATCAGCAGCATCAGCATTACCACCATCATCCTCATCATCAGCATCAGCAGCAGAAGCAGCATCACCATTATCACCCTCAGCATCATCAGCATCATCATCATCGTCTTCAGCATCACCATTATCACCACCATCGTCACCATCATCAGCACCATCACCTTCTCAGCATCAGCAGCAGCAGCATCATCATCATCATCATCATCATCATCATCATCATCATCAGCATCATCATCATCATCATCATTATCATCATCGTCATCGTCATCGTCATCGTCATCAGCAGCAACATCAGCATCAGCATCAGCATCACCACCAGCATCAGTATCAGCATCAGCATAAGCATCAGCAGCATGACCAGCATCACCATCAAGATCAGCATCAGCATCAGCATCAGCATCAGCATCAGCATCAGCAGCATCATCATCATCATCATCATCATCATCATCATCATCATCATCATCATCATCATCATCATCACCATCACCATCATCATCATCATCATCATCATCATCATCATCATCCTCATCATCGCCCACCTCCTGTCCCCGCTCCTCCTCCTTCGCCCAGCCCGCTCCACACCCGCTGCCGCGCCGCGACTCTGCACGAGACCCCCCCCTGGATCCACCGGCGCGTCGATCGCGGGGCCTCCGCGGCCGCCCTTGTGGCCAAAGCGGCCCCTCCTCCGAGCGCATTTTTTGCCTTCGCGGCCACAGCGGGCGTTGTGGTGGGGGGAAGGGGAGGAGGAGGAGGAGCAGGAGGAGGAGGAGGAGCAGGAGGAGGAGGAGGAGGAGCAGGAGGAGGAGGAGGAGGAGGAGGAGCCCCCCCCCCCTCCCAGACCAGACTGTGGTGCCGGACGCACTGCGGCAGCGCCGGGGGCGCACCGACGGAGCGGGCGGAGCGTTGCGCTGTGGGGGGGGGGGGGGGGGGGGAAGCGGTGGAGGGGCAGGGTGGGGGACATGTCGCGCGTCATGGCCCAGAGGGCACCCAGACGTGCGACGTCCTGACTTTTCTTAGGGCGGCTTCCCCGGAAGGCCCGACCCTCTCCCAGGACCGGTTTCTCGTCCCGAGTCGTTTTGTTGACGGTCCCGAGGCCCGGCGAGGACCTCTAGAGGGCGAAAATAGCCAAAACCGCCCGTCCTGATCTTTTTACGACCAGCTTCTCGTCCCGAGTCGCGGGGGCCGTCTTGATCTGCTCTGCCCCCGGCGCCCCTCGCCGGCCGCGGGGGGGCACCCGCCGTGCAGGCGCCCCTCGCGGCGACCCTGCGGGGCACGGCGGGGCTCGCGCGCGCGCTGGTCTTCGTTGGCGCCACGCGGCTCGGTCGGCCTGGAGCGATCGCGGACGTTTCCCTCCTCCTCCTCCTCCTCCTCCTCCTCCTCCCTCCTCCTCCTCTTCCTCCTCCTCCTCCTCCTCCTCCTCCCTCCTGCTCCTCCTCCTCCTCCTCTCCTCCTCCTCCTCCTCCTCCTCTCCTCCTCCTCCTGCTCCTCCTCCTCCTCCTCCTCCTCCTCCTCCTCCTCCGCCTCCTCCTCCTCCTCCTCCTCCTCCTCCCCCTCCCCTCCCCCTCTCCCCCCCCTCCCCCTCCCCTCTCTCTACCTCTCCTCCTCCCCCTCCCCCTCCCCCTCCCCTTCTCCCTCCTCCTCCTCCTCCTCCTCCTCCTCCTCCTCCTCCTCCTCCTCCTCCTCCTCAGGCCACTGGCGGGGCGGCGTCCAGCCTTCAACGTCCGCGCTGGGGGATCGTTTTGGGGGACCTGTTTGCCTCGACCCGAGAGGGAGCCCGCCGTACCGAGGCAGCACGGCACCCCACTCTCTCGCAGAGGCCACCGCGCACCCGGGGAGCACGCCCGCACCCGGCGAGGCGAGAGGGAGGCCCCACGGCCCGGTGCTCTCCACCTCTGCCCCGCGGGGCCGCTGCCCCCTCGCGTCGAAGATACCTGCAGACCAATCGCCTGCCTGGACGACACGCACAAATCGAGAAGTGTATACAATTGTTGGGAGGAGGAGGAGGAGATGTAGGACGGGGGGAGGGAGGAGGAGGGGGAGGAGGAGGGGGAGGGGGAGGGGGAGGAGGAGGAGGAGGAGGAGGAGGAGGAGGAGGAGGAGGAGGAGGACCCAGGCTTCAAGCCACAGAGACGGATGGACCAGCCGTGACGCTCGCCCGGCGCTCCGCGGGAATGTGCTCCTGCGCTCGCCACAAAACACATATGGCTCACAAGCCCCTCTTCTAAAAGCTCGGCACGGTCCACTCGGGATCGTCTCAGCATGGGACGACCCGGTTTCGAGATGGGAATCGACTACAGAGTTGAGGCACTTCAGAATGATTGTTCGCCGAATAACCAAGTCCCACGGAGAAGAATCCCACAAGGATAATAAAGTTTTGGGTCGCGGGGGAATTATAAATGTTGCCTACCGGAGGCCAGCATGTGGGAGGAGAGAGAGAGAGAGAGAGATGATGTTAAGAGGACCGAAAGCCGAGGATCGAGGATCCAGAGTCGAAGTCCGAGGATCGAGGATCGAGATCCCAGAGTCGAGGATCGAGGTCCGAGGATCGACGGCGGCGAGATCCGAGGATCGACGGCGGCGAGGTCCGAGGATCGAGGGCGAGGTCCGAGGATCGAGACATCCTCAAAAAATGCTTGTTTCGCTTGAGACATCCTCGAAAACGTCTTCGCTTCGCTTGATGTTACTATCTCAACATAAGAAGGAAGTTAACCTCGATGGTGAACTTTTCGCAGTGATAAAAAAGTTCGGCCTCCGCGCCCCGCGCCCCTGACCAAACTCTTCTTGGCCGTGGATAATCAACTCTAGCGTGGAAAAGGGGGGGGTCCTTTATTATCACCGGCAGGCGGTTATACAAAGAAATTCGTGTTTTCAGATCTGCCAAACACAACGAACTGTTTGCAGATTCGGCGGAAATTGCACGTCTGGGGCACACGACTGCTGCAATGGATCTCATACTCCATGGCTGGAACCTCCCACACGGAAACGGGATCCGAGGCAGACAGACACCGATAGTTGACGGTGCTGGACACTCCCCTTGAAGTCGCTCGGACGTCCATTCCCCGTGCATGTGTCGGTGTCGCGCGTGTTTTGTTTAGAGGCCTCCTAGATGGGGTCCGAGAAGATGCGGTCGAAGGATCGCGCCGTGTCGCCAATGCATCGCCGATGTATCGGCGATGCATCGCCGATGCATCCATCGCCGATGCATCGGCGACGTCGGCGTGGGAAAACTCGGGCTCCACATAGAGCCGCATCGTCGATACATCGGCGACGCGGCGCGATCCTCCGACACAATCTGCTGGGACCCCATCTGGGAGCCCTAGACTATTTGCTCGATGATCCAGGGTGCTTCTCGATTGGGGAAACCCAAAGGTACCAATACCGCTACTCCCTGGGCCTCTCCCGAGGTGAGCTCTGACCAGGATGTCGCGGCGAATCCGGCCGTGGCGACGAGGGCCTCCCAGGAGGCCCCAAAAGAGGCGAAAACGGGGCGAAAGGTGGCGGCACGGGTACCTTTTTCCTCCCCTGAGATCCAGGGTGCTTGCTCCTCGATGACCCTCGCGAAAAAGAAACAAACAAACAAAAAAAAAATGCCAACAGCCGAGCGACGCCGAGTCCCCCTCGGGCGCCGCTCCCCCCGGGGGGACCACCGCCCCCGCCTCCCGCCCGGCCCGCGGCGCAGGAGCCGAGCGGCTCCCCACGCGGTGCCCTGGACTCAGGCGAGCGGCTGAGGAGGACGACGAGGAGGAGGAGGAGGAGGAGGAGGAGGAGGAGGAGGAGGAGGAGGAGTGGGAGGGAGACGACGACGACGACGACGACGAGAAGGAGGAGAGGAGGAAGGAGGTAGGAGGAGAGGAGGGGAGGAGAAGGGGGAAGGAGAAAAAGAACGAGGAGGGAGGACGAGGAGGAGGAGGAGGAGGAGGAAGAGGAGGACAGGAGGAGGACGAGGAGGAGGACGAGGAGGAAGAGGAGGAGGAGGAGGGGAGGAGAGGAGGACAAGGAGGAGGAGGAGGAGGAGGAGGAGGAGGAAGGGGAGGAGGAGGACGACGACGAGGACGTCGACCCACGCGGGACCGGGACTCGGGGCCCGTGGACCTCTCGCGCGGCCCCCGGCGGCGCGCGCGGCTGCTCCTCGGGCGCGCTCGGGCCGCCCCGCGCGCCAGAGCGGGGCGCGCCGAGAGGCGCCCGAATGCCACCGCGGCGGGCGCGGAAGCGTGAGACCCGGACGCCCTCGCGTCGTGGCAAAACATCGCGACGGGATGCCGTCGCGATTTTTGTCACGACGAGGTGTTTCCCCATTTCCGGCCTCTGGGGGCCCTCGCTGGGCCCCGGGAGCGTGAAAAACGACTCGGGATGCAAAACCGGCCCCGGGGAAGGGGTCCGGACCTCTGGGGGTCGCGTCCTGAAAAAATCACGACGTCGGGGGTCTGGGGAGGCGAAGTGCCTTGAGAGAACCCAGGACGAGGATAACACCGGGTGAAGACAAATCGAGAATCTCCGAGATCCGGCGGCTCTGGAGGATGCCTCGGGCGCCGCCGCCTTCTGAGAGCGCCCCAGAACGCTCAGGGAGCGTTCCAGAACGCTCTGGAACGGATTGAGCCTCGTCCTAGCCCCGTGGGAGGTGCATCCCGATTCGCTGGGAGAGCGCGCCGAAATCATGGGAAGGCTTGGATAGCCAGATATCGCGAAAGCGCAAGATCGTACACCCTATCGTCTATCTTCCTCAGCGGCTCCTGGAAACCGAAGCGACGAATTCCCTGATCGGTTCCGACGAGTTCTGAATGAGGACGTGACGTGATGAAGTGGCAGCAAGGCCACGGATAAACGAACGGGAGCCGCATGGCGCCCCACAAGATGCTGCACACGCCCCGCCAATGAATGGAGCAGCGGGGATTACCACCCGCGCCCTTCCATCGCAACTCCTTCATTCACGTCGGCGTCGTCAGAACTGTCACTTCCAGGCCCCTGCTCAGGGCAGGAGAGTCTACAGCCCCCGATCACATCGACCAGGCGATGGTCCGCACTCGCCCGCCCCTGCTTCCGGCTCAGCGCGTTGCACAGAAGCAGCCCTACAACCGCGTTTCGGCCCGCCTCCCCCATGAGCCCCAACTCGCCATCTGAGACCCGTCGTCGAGCTTCATCGCCTCCTCGATGCCTTTCGCCTTGAGGCCTGGGCCATGCAGACCGGCGGTGGGCAGAGGGCACAGCGGGGCCCAGCGCAGAGATGGAGGCCTTCCACCTGGGGGGCGACGCGTGATGGGAGAGTCGAAGTCACTCGCGCCGCGCCTATCTGCAAACTGCGTGCTTCTGCACTCTACCACGCAGACACGTGTTTTTCTTCCGGCGATTGGCCCCACGATCGCGTCCGATGCGGCGGGAGACGACGTACCGATTTCATCCGCACGCGCGGTGGACGCGCTCGAGCCCGGCTGTGGGGCCCCCGGCGAGCGGTGAGCTGAGCGAGAGCACGGCTAAAGGCGGGTGAGAAAATTACATGCTGGGCGACGAAACGCGTGCGTTGACACGAGGTCGAAGATGTGCACCGGGGTGCGACCGCCAAGGGCGAAAAGCAGACTGAAGGAGCATGGGCCACGCGTGCCCAGGGGCACGTGGGCCCATACACACAAAGCCGCACACAC